ATATATATACACGTATCAGCTGACCTAATGTCAGAGTCCCAAGATGCTTTACGAACACACACAAAAAAATTTCCACATGTGAAAAGCAGCTGCTCTGGAAGATGAATGAATACGTTTTACATCACATTTTTTGTGAAAGGAAGTAAACATGTATAGTTTATCTAATTAAAACTGGAGATAAGGCAGGGAAGGGAGACAACTCTCCTCCACTTCCCAGTTTCCATTTAACATCTCTCCTTACATAAAAAGTTATCAAAGGATTGAATTTAGATGCATGGGTTTCATTCTGAAATAAGGAATGTAATAGTTGGTCCGACCTCCCCCTCCAACTCCTTCTTAGTCATTTTTAGTACACACTTTGAAGCACAAAAATTGCCTATTACGTAAAGAATTTAAGAAAAGAAGCTTTCATTATTATTCAAGGTACAAATGATTAAGTAAAATAAAATCAACCAATCAATTAAGTAAAATAAAGTCAACCACTCTGCAGACAGTTCCCCATGCAGACTTCATTGCACCTTCATTCACCTATCCCTCATGGTATAATTTCACAATCAGTTTGAAAGACTACGCCATCCATCTCACATGCGAATCTGTTTTTATCAGCTATTTTTTTTTAATGCTCTTCAAAAATGTATTTTGTTGCGTGGAGTTTCAGGTGGATCAATTCCTTGACCCTGCTCACCACAGGGCTGCAAGAACATTAAGGCTAGCACAGGTAAAGGGGAGAGAACAAGTGACTCGGGGAAGAAAAAGATGAGACACCGCCTTTGGAAGTGCCAAGTTACTCTGAATTTTGGAACTGCACCATTAGGATATCGTTTTTTAAACCCTAACTAACAGTGTTGGTGTTCTACAAAATAGCACCTGCTAGTCTAATTTCAGCCTAACAACTAGATCTTAGCACTCAGTGCACCCATAATAGTACTACTACTGTGTACTGCTAGTAAAGAAACCCACCTAAGATCATTAAATTCAGGCATGTCCCTCAACAAATAAATGTTAGTACTCCAAAGTCTGCATGCAGTAGCACCAAAGCCAGTGTCTCTTAAGCTGGGTATTTTATTATGGTAACAACAACAGTATGCAACAAGCCGTCTTCTATTCTGATAGCAAATGCATGATCAACATGCTCATGCTACTGACTAACTTGAATCAGTAAACCAAATTGATTTACAGATGCTTTATTTTCTCTCACCTGCACTTGAAGTCACAGGATCCAGCAGCCAGCAAAACATTGTTGGGGTGCCAGTCCAGGCTAAGGACAGTGGAACGAATGGGCTTTTTAATGTGTTTGCTCACCCACCTAAATGAAGAGAGAGACAAAATTATACGAAAATATTTTACCAGACTCCCCCAAACCCATTAAACACTCCTCAAAAAGATCATCCCTTGCCAATGACTAAACACATCAGTTTTGCAATAAAACTCACATTCTGCCCAAATCTTTCATATTGCCTTGTACAGTCTGTGAACTTTATATGCTTATCTTAATTAAAATTGTAAAGATTATAAACAAATTCATGTTAAATATATATGTCTTCCCCTATCCCCCTTCTAACTCATTTTTATAATGCATCGGACTGAACTCCTTAATGTGAATTTTGCACAGTAATTGCATGGTCCCTTACATCCTATGAACAAGAGCTCAGCTTTGACCGTGATATTGAGCGAAGAAGCACTATTTTCTTAGATCACTAAGTATACTTCCTCTCCAGCTCCTTCCAGTGAGTTTTACAGTCATCTCTCTTACCTATCGACTTCTCTACTGTTTAATAATACAATATCTATAAAACACAACAAGTAAATGGATGAACTGCCAATGATATGACTAGTCTACACATCTCAATTATTTGAAGGACAGTGAAAAGTGGTCCTGACGTTGAATGCATCGATATTAGCCTAAATATGTCTCAGCAGATTTGGTTTGTTTGAACTATTTACAAAATAGTAATGAAATCTGTTATTCACTTGATGGCATTTGGGATGACGGTGCTTTTTCTTTGAATTTACTTCCATCAGGCAGAAACAGTTTTAAGGATCGCATTTAATTATTTGTCTTCAAGATATGCGTTTTGATTCTTCTGCAGACAAGTAAGGCAGAGAAAAATGTTAAGAACTGAGTATGTTGGAAAGCATAAAAATCCAAAACAATCTTTAAAATGTATTTTGCAGATGGTATCATTGTTTACCATCTCCACATGGAAGACTGCACACAGAACGGTGGGCACAGACACCTGTGTTTTTATGCATGTTTATGCAACCCAAAGTAATAGACACTCAACATACTGATTTCACCTACAGATGATATGGTAAATGTAGCTCCAACATGTACAGCTACAAATGTAGCTCTGTTAAAAATCAGAAGCCCTAAGTTTAGATGCCAAAGAGAAGAAAATGGTGGAAATATTTGCGATAGTCCTGCCTGAAATCTGGAACTGTGACAAGAATATATGACAGAATACAAAACGGGTAGATGACAAGCTTGATCATCTTCTAATAGACCACGCTGGAGGTAAGTGAAAGACTTGAATTCTTTAATGACAAGAAATGGCCCAAAATAATCTATATGGAAGAAAGATTCAAGTCAAGCTTTTTTCATTCATTCTGGAAGGAGGTAGGGGGTGGGAACATTTCTCTTTTTTCAATCATACAGTTGTGGTAAAGAAATTTTTACTCTGCAGAGATTCTTGCACTTTTAGAAAAGCGACATATGTTTATGGCAGTCAGCCGGAACACATCCACGCCAACACGTATAACCTCAAAATAGGCTAAATCCAAGGCCTTTAGGTGCTACACCAGAGTAAAGAAGTAAAAGAGGGAACCCTCTCCCTAAGATGTAAAAAGTCCATGGAAGAACTGATGAGGCCTATCCCTCTGTATTTCCTGAAGATTTTAGGAATTAGGAAAATAATAACCTGGTTACCAGCATTAAACTCCAGGCTTTAGCTTTCCCGTGCAGACCTTAGGGGTATAAATGGAAATTAAACTCAAGCAGCTCACCAGTCATTTTCAGATTCAAAGTAGCACACAGATATAAGTCGAGCTCCACTTCCCACAGCAAATTTATTCTCCAAGGGAGACCATTTCACAAAGGTGGCTGCACGATTAATTCTCAGGATCACAAGGGTTGGTTTCCACACGCCGTCTTTCTGACTCCAGACATAGGCATTACGGTCTGCACCGCAAGTTACAATGCGATCGCTTTTGGGAGCCCAGTCAATACCTGCAATTTAAAGTTCACATTAATAAACATTCCCCTTTACACTGTTTGCTTTACAGTAAGCCAAACCAGAGACAATCTCACAGCCTTCTACTACAGAGACAGTTATTAGTGTTATGTTAGTATTCCCCTTTTTCACTTATTCTCCAGGCACCATTTTAAACTGTTAGGCATATCAGTTTCTCCCACTAGCTTTCATCAAAATCGCAGATCCCAAATTTCCAGATTCCACAGAGAATTTGCCCGCTAAGGAAGCCCTCTGACGGCTGGCCAACAGGTGGAGCTCTGCAAACTGGCTAAGGCCTGTCCACCCGCAGACTTCAAACCACTGACTTCTGCAAGAGACCCGCTTCAACAGCTGAAACCCAGCAATTCTAAAACTATGCACAAACCTCTAACATAGTTGTCTGCTTGCTGCCAGACCGCAGTCGTGATCTAAAAGTTTAGATAGCAGCGGTTTTTTTTGGTTAGAATTTATCAATCTTTATGTACTGATACAATCCTTACATCTTTTCCATGCCTATTTCAGCTGTGCCATGAGAAAGAAACGTTTACCAAGCAAAAATAAGTTCAAAGACTAAAACGAAGCCTTTGATAAGCCTGCCATTGCTTCTTTCTTCATTTCTCCTATGCAATGAAAGATGTTCTCAACTGGAAAGTCTTACAGCAACATTATTTTTCATCTCTTCTTTAGCATCCTTCTTTGAGATGCAGAGTGCAATCCTCAACTCTTCTGCCACAAAATTATATTTCAATGGTTTTTCATAACTGTGTCCTGTATTCAAAACATTCCTTAAGCACACAAACTGAAAAAAGGATAAAAGTTATGGAAAGAATTTGTACTAATTTTACCATATTATTCATATATGGTCTACCTCAGAATAGGCTTATGCTTAAAAAGTTCAATTTTGAAGAGGTTGGTAACCTGAAACCATAGTTACACGAATCAATCTAGCACTGCCTTTGAAAGGGGGACCATCCTGCCTCTCTTTACTTCTCTTTCCCACCACCTCCTTCGCACCAGCACCAGTGTTATTCTGACGCATGGCAAGTTCAGCTTTTTAGCTTAGCAGAAAACTAAGCCAGCAAAAAGAGTGAATAATGCTCTTCCTGTAAGCGAACAGAAGCAGCTCACCACAAATCTCTGAATCAAGACACAGAAGGCAAGACAAGGGACTTCGTCCCTTGTGATCAGAAGCTGGAGTGGCAGCAGTTGAATCACTCCTGTCAGAGGCAACAAGTGGTTTGATCAGTCTATCTCAAACTGTGGTTAGACGCAGAAGTCTACTCTTTACAACAACCACAGCATTTAGTATTCCAAAGGTATACGCTATGGAGGAAAGCAGAGAAAGCTCTTTTCCCAAGTCATGAATATTTGGCTTCTAACACTAACAGGTACAAGTAAAATGCAGAGAAATGTCTTTGGGGAACAGCATGTCATTTGTAAATTCAGCCTAAGTGATTCTTCACAAAAGAGCACGTACAGTGGTGGTCTTTGACAGCAAGAATCAGATAAATTGAATAAAGTTCCTGCAAAATGCTGTTGGGCAGATACTTCTGCCCATTAGTGAGCTGAGAACAGTATAAAGGATATTGCTGTTTTGGGCAAGTGCTTGTATTAATTACTTTCATTTCCTTAGAGAATAAAGCCCTTATAAAAATATCACCACGGAAAAAAAAAAAGCAATATAAAAGACTACCACAGGACAATCACATTTTAAAAATAACACCTTGTGACTCATCATGGCAGCTCTTCTTACATTTTCAGTGTGGATCTACAGATACTCAGGGCCTGCAGTAAAATGCGCTCACTGATGGTCTGTCACAAGTGAGGACTGACCACTTCAAGTCTTTATACAGTCCCTAAAAAAGGATATTTCTTGCTGTTGGAAACCACAAACCAATGCAACAGTTGTATATTTGATGAAGTTTTAATACTAGCACTTGAAAGGGAGCAGCATGTATCACCATGAGAATTTGTGACACAACCAGATTACTTCAGTAGACTGAAAGTTTATTCTCATTATGTCATTACGGATGAAAAATAAGCAATAGGTAAGAAAGAAAGGCTCAGTTACTCTACCGAAATGTCTGGAAATGAAACAGGGCTTTTCTTCCTAACATTTATTGCATGCAGTCCAGAAAAATGCTGCAAAGCTCTCTCTAAGTGGGAATGCCAACCTATAAAAAGATCTATTTACTCAACACTTGCAGATTTCTTGTTCAGATTCTCAACTGGGGAAAACAGGGGGCGGGCAAACTTAATGTCTGGCACAGCACAATCTTCTCTTACCTGTAATGTGTCCATTGTGTTCCTTTAGCTCATGAGCCTTTACCCACTGGTTCCCGCTCTTCTTATAGATGTGGACTTCATGATTATTAGGGCTAATAGCAATCTCTTGAAGAAGAAATAAAACAATCCAATAGTACAGAAGGCTTTTTAATAACAAATGCTTTACTTGGAAAGATTTTTCCAATCTATTCTCAAATTTCAGAGCATTACATAGGTTTTGTAAACAAAAGGCCAACAACCCTGGATAATCTCAAATAATTATGGTCATAACATAGTCATGAGTATAGTGCACAGAAAGATAATATATTTTGAACATGACAACCCACGTTCTAGTAGAAAACTAGGCTCTTAAAAGAAAGGGCTGGTTTGGAGTACGGAAATAGAGGGTCAATGAGGGTAAGGGCGAGGTCATTCTCACGAGGTGTGGACCAAGAGGCAAAGCTTTCTGGAACACTAGTAAGACTAGATCTGCTCGTACGCCAGAGTTCCAGTAACGGGTTTAGAAAAGTTCAAATTTAGGAGACGCGTGCTTTTTGGATCATAAGTGGAACATTTAACATGCAGCACTATGTATTTGACCGTACCTTCCCTAAACGTGATCCAGAACATTATAAGGTCATAAACTGACAGCAAAAAGAAAACAGCAATTGAAAAAAAATTAAAAATTAAAACTTATTACTTACGAGTACGGTCTCTGTTCCATGCATGGCAGGTGATTGGCTCTAGTAAAAACTGATGTAGAGACATTCCGAGTTAAAGATATTCCTATGTTGTAAAAATTGAAAAAGCTGAAAGGTGTAAAATTGGAAACAAAACACTTCAAAATTAGATACTTATTAAAACAAAATCAGCCTTCAACATTTACCAAGGTTGTTTCAGTCCAGTATTACAATTTACTTACAGAAGATCACAACTTACTCAGTAAATATGTTAAGGCTGCTAAAGAGTTGCCTTTGCCATACACCCTGATATCTTCAGTAGGCCGATGAATTTTAACTGTCCTGCTTACTATACCTAATTGCAATTGACCCAAAAGCCATATACGCGTGCTCCTTAGTACACCCTCACAGACGAGAGAGCAGGTTCTTAGGAAATCTAACGAACCTAATAATTTTACTATGGAAATAGAATACTTGGGGGGAAAAAAAAAAAAAATCTAGGGGCATAGCTCAGTGAATTGATTCAAAATCCTGACATGTATCAGGCTCAAACGCCGTACGAAAATAAAATCTTTTTCTTATTCTTTTTCAGGTGTTAAATTGGTGTCTCCAGAACACTGATATGTAACTGTAATCTGCTGATGTATTATTTGATAAAGCCATTTACATGTATCATAGGGAAAAATTATTAAGATTAGTAATTAACTAATTACTAATTCCTTCAAATTAATTCTAGCACTAAACTGTTTTATAGTTAGGCTTTTGCGCCCATGAGATTCAAACACTAAAAGAACAAGCTGAATCATTCTAGTTTGTAAGTATTTTAATTTGTTTTAAAAAAAGCCAGATACCTAGCTTTTTCTTTAACTTATGACTGCTACAAGAGACAGTGCTGAACATCTGCAATTGGAGGCGCACCAACCCGCAAATACAAAGTTGTTTAAAATACTATATCGTATTCTATGTCCTGTACTAACCAAGGGCAGCATAAATGGATGGAAGATAACATCATAAAAACTCAGGGTCACCTGTAATAATTAAAATGTGCATAGTTCAATACACACAACTTGGATTTGTCAATTCCTTCCATATATTCCACTCATTTTCATAGTAATTTATCCTTGGCTGATAGATCAAAGTCTTTTTACCCCTACATATACATCTAAAAAGAATTATCTCTGTGATGTCATTCCAAGACATCCACACCCATTATAGCCTGAAATTACAACATACCCAAGTATGGCCATGTTAGCAGAGGGTGGAGACTTCAGGACAAGGTAGGAATTTGGAAGCAAACAGGAAATGAACGGCAGTCCAACAGAAACTCAGGAGTGAATGAAAGATGAGTACGTTCTTACGGAGCTTAGCAATTACTATCACACCACTACTTTAAAAAATACACTGAAAGTGCTGAATCTTGGAGCAGAGTTGACACAGTACTTCGCCAATGCAAATAACTGGAGAGACTTTTTTTTTTCTTTCTTTTTTTTTTTAAAGAAATCAAGCCCTACTATTTTAAAGAAATATAACTTACTGTTACATTTCAAATGTACTTCAAATACAACTTTTAATTATATGGGCTTTAAGTCCAGTTCACAATTTTAACCAGCATGATTTTCATGGTTCTTCTAATAATCATATTCTACCAATCAAATGCAGCTATTAAATATATGCAGTCCTAAGCAAAATAATTGATTACTTTCTATTAATGTGAAAACGTTGACATAATCCGAGTTACCTTTGACCTTGAACTGCCATGATTTGAGATTCCATGTGTTAATATAAGCAAAACACAACTGCAAATCGCTTTTTCCACGATCTTGCTTTAGTACATGCCAACATTCAGTAGCAGTACATTTCCATATACAGGAAAAGTTGAAGAGCTGTTCAACCAACAAGGAATGCTTAGCCTTTTCTACTCTTTCCGAAATAAAATGTAAAAATATCCAATCTCCCCTCCCCAAGGAACACAGCTATTTTGAAACGCTTTCTAATACAACGCTGGTATTTTCTCCACGGATTGGCACTACGTATAAACAATATGGTCCCATCCTAACCTCTAGTTCAGAGGGTTTTACTACCCTACGTGCTGTTCCCAAAGACAGCCTAGACAAGCAATATGATCCATTCCTTCCCACTGAGTTTCTTGAGCACTGTAACTTGTAGCGAGCGACTGTTTTCCATTTTGGTTTGGTAACAAACTCATAAAAAACCACAGTGGTGATAATCTCAAAAAGCACTACTATTTCTGTCATCTGATAGTTGCAGTGCTATTTTCTTTGGGAAGATAAATCTTAATGAAGTCTTCCAGTTATATTTATTCCTTACCAATACATAGACAAAATCAAACTCACATTTCACAAGAGAAAATGCAACTGCCTTTATGAGTCTTGATATAATTCATATGTAGTAAACCCCTCAATGCCTTCCTGTCAGCCAATCTCAGAATCTCACACAGGGAAGATACTGTTATGATAACTTTGTTAGCCAAGTCTTTAACGTAGCTATCCCTGATCTTTTTCTGAAATGCAAAGTAACTGTCCTTGAGTTTCACTAAAATTTTAATAAAAGAAAAAAAGGAAGTCTTGCACCTTTGTACAGCAAGAGTTCTTTCAGTATGTAGACTGAAAAGATCAAGGTTGGGAAGTACAGGACTCAGCTGTTGTCATCTCTCAATGGAGTGAGAAATATGTGGTATAAGGCCATCCCTGGACAAGCAACTAGCGAGGATGCAGACTCAGAAGTGGAGACAGCATGTGTACGTGTGTGAGAGAGTGAGAGAAAGGGATCTTTTGAATCCTTGCCTATTTTCAGAGCACCTACATCACGTTCAAACATCTGGAAGAGAAGTGCCTATAATTAAGGACTGCCTCCTACTACTGTCATTCCCTTCCAAGTCACTCAGCACAGCTTTCCCAAGAGGGTGACTTCTCACAGGCAAGCCTACTGACACAGGACACCATTAGCATTATAAAGCCGACCGGTTTGGGATGGATTGCGGGCTGCGGCCCTGCCCCACGCTGATAACACAGGTGCACAGCGCTGCTGCGGAGGCCACGGCGGGGTAGGGGCAGGAGGCAAGGCAGGAGCTGCCCCGCCGAGGCCCGCTCGGCTGC